AGAATAATTGTGTATTAGCCAGCGTTGCGGAAACCCGAAGCAGTGCAAGCAAAATGATTGAGTGCAATATTCGTCTAGGCTCCGGCAGATCTGAGTATACTGTAGCAGCATGAGAAAGAGGGAGAGACAGGCGGGAACACAGGCATGGGGACTCCCTGAACATCAGCACTCTAGTGTAAAGCTAGAGTGACAGCACTGACGCCTCAGTTTATCCAAAGCCAATGACACCGATCCCCACCCAGCTCATCACCTCATACTGTTAGTCTTTACCATTTTATTCTTTTAAGCTTCATTATGTTTAATTACATTTAGCATGGATTAAGGCACAGGTGGCCCGGAGGACATGGAGTGGGAACCTCCAGGTCTTGCCCTGAGTCCCAGTCCGTGGTGTCAGCCCCGTGACCAGAGTTTCCCCAGCCGAGGAGGCTATCGCCATGACAACGGCAGGGTGAACGGAAAACTGGTCGGGGGCTCGGCTCCAGGAGGAAAAATCGGGGGTATGCTACCCAGACTTACCGCCTGATCCCGGCTCGGTCCAAGGGGGTCTTTCGGGGGACCCCATCCATTGGTTCCCGAAAGGAACCACCTGTGGTCTCCTCCGGCACTGGTACTAGCCTGTGCTTTTGTTCTGCAGGGCCCACGGTGTGGTCCGGTTCCTGTCCTGCCTGCTCCTCGATGCCCTCCGGCTCTGCCGACCCCTCGCCGTCTACCGATGCTGTTCTTCCCTCGGCTGCCGCAGACGAGAGGAGCTCGTCCTTCTACAGGCCCAGACAGGACTCCGAAGGCCCCCCTGGCCGCGACCCTTCTGCGGCACCTCAGAGCTTGATCTCCCTGGTTTCACTTCTTAGCCCGATTTCACTCTTCCAGCCCCCACTCCAGTCACTCTTGCTTCCCACTTTAGGTTCCTCCTGGCTCCCTCTCCTGGTCCTATTCTTGTTGCACTGGTTCCATTGCTTGTCTGGTTGTGTCCTACCCTGTCTGTCCTGTGCCACCTTTGGTCCTTTTGGTGCCCAATCCCTCCCTTTGTCTCCTTCTTCTGTTTCCTTTGTTGCCACTTGCCCACTGACACCCGCTGTTTGTCTTTTGGTCCCTAGTCTGCATCCCTGTCGGGTTACCTGGCCTGTCATGAGTTGTGTCCTGGCGGTTTGTCTCCCCTGCTGTCCTTGGTTTTGCCCTGGTCTGTGTGTCCCCTTAATGATGCCTTTGCACCAGGATGGCACAGGATTGGGGGGGGGGGGGGTGTTACTGTCATGGCCTGCCCGTCCTGTCAACCTTGCCCTCTAGTTCTCCTCCCTGACGTGGCCCTAACCAGCCACTCTTGGTCTCTAGTAGTCTTACCTCATGTTCCTGTCCTTCTGTCAGTCACTACCAGCTGCCTTGTGTTTTCCCATTCCTTAGTTTGGTAAAGTGCCCAGGCCAATGTTCTCCAGTTCTGTCCTTGTCTGTTTGCGTCTCTGTGCCCAAGCCTGCCTGCCAATAAAGCTCCCCGCGAAGGGGATTCTGCCTTACAGCTTGCATTCGGGTCCTACTTCTATGGAAGTAAATTAATGACAAAAGTCTTTGATGAAAAAAAACACGTTGAATTACACTTATCGAATAAAAACGCATTGCATTAATGACGCTTTGAATTTTTGGGGACTGTAATTTAATATGTGTATATAATAAACGTTGAACATTTCAACTGAAAAAAATTCAATTGTAATTTCATTGCTTAAATATTCAGTACAAAAATATTCGGCTTCCAAAATTCAGTTCCAAAACATACGTATTTTAAAGTGCATGTTTATAATTCAACTACATGAATTCAGTTCATTTAATTTCGCCTCAAAATAAATTTCAAAAGAACAAATTCAGTTGAAAATATTCCATGTGTTTAATTCGCATCTTTATTATTCAAGCAGTAACATTCAGCCCTCTTATTTCTGCTTTACAATATTCAGTCCCGTTATTTTCGCTGTTTCCAAATACGCTGCCAAAAATTCAGTGGTTTAAAATACGATCCGAAATTCAACCCTCTACATCCGGGACTAGCAGGATGAGCAATAGATTGCCGATAGAGTTCTCTTCGGGAACCGCGGTTAAAATGGAGCAAGCGGTAAGTACAAGTACTGATGGACTTGGCAGCAGATTTTCGTTGATTGTGTTATTTATGTTTCTTGTCGTTTACTGGTCAATACGATAACTTTTTGCGCCCCCAACTAATAGGTTTTTATGTAAGTAATTCGCTAGCTGCATTAATTATCACCAAACTTATCTTGCTAACGTAAGATGCCTGCGGTCAACTACAAGGTCCGCTAGCTTGCAAGCTGGCCAGCTAGGTAGTTAGGATGGGATAGTAGTCGACTTGGGGACTGACAGGTCCGCCATGTCGGCGATGACAGCAGAAGGGACCTTAATGGCACTTTGAAAGTATGATATGCTTAATTAATTAAGGAAAAGACGGTGAAGATGAAACGGCATCCGACAGCTAGGGCTGGGCCGTGAAATATCGCGTCGCGTTTATGAACATTCATATCGTCATCAGTGTATAATATCGTAATAGTTATAATGCACTATTTATACAAATTCCATCAAGGTATGAGTCCGTTGCTGGCGCCCTTACCATTAAACCTGTTGCCAGCAGCTTTCATAACTGACTGTCGTTATCATAAATTTATCACGCTGATTTAAACTTTAAGGCTTCATTATGGAAATATTAATACATTTTTAATGTGTGGATTTTAATGTGTTCGATACAGAGTAAGTACATTGTAAGTATTGTTTTTCCTTTAGCAGTTGCTGCTGAACTATGTGATGGAAAGACTCCACTCCCGCTTGGAGCATGCAGTTGGGCGTTTGCCCCTTGACCTTGATTACTTGGACTTTGTCTGCTCGCAGGAATGGGTTTTTTTAAGTGCAATTTCCAGCATAGTAACCATCCCACATAATATAACACAGGCTGTCACTGAACTGCTTCAATTAATCCAACGAAACCTGACATTCAGGGAGATGCCCACTGTGACTGTTCAGCAAGAGCAAGGACGAATGGGACGACCACGTATAATCATATCACCAGAACACATTGCAAATCTCTTGGATATGAATTTGTCTGTTCCTTACATTGCCAGGATTCTAGGAGTATGCCCACGCACAATATACAGACGAATGGCAGAATGCAATCTCTCAGTCAGGGCACGATATAGCAGTTTTTCTGATGAAGAGTTAGATGCTTGTGTGACGGGTATTAAGCAACGCATGCCACATTGTGGATACAGAATGGTGAGGGCAGCGTTACAGGCCCATGGACATCAAGTACAGTTTGAACGCGTTAGAGCATCCATGCACCGGGTGGATACTGCTGGAGTGATATGTCGAATGACACAACTTGGCTGTGTCATTCGAAGGACATATTCTGTCTCCAGTCCCAGAGCATTGATGCACATCGACACCAATCATAAATTGATTCGGTATGTTTGTTAGGATGGTCCTTATTTTATTTTGCAAGCCTTGCTCTGAGAGTTGTGTATGTTTCTACTGTTTTTTTTTCTTTGTGATATTTCAGTTACAATATAATCATCTTCGGAGGTATAGATGGCTTTTCGCGCAAGGTAATTCTCAAGCTTAATTAGTGTTAGTTCCTTTGTATAATGTGTTGGATCATCACCAGCTTGCCCTCTGTTTTATTTTTACTTTATTTACACAGATAATGTACCTGGGTGCTGCTTCTAATAACCGGGCTTCAACTACCCTGGATTTTTTCCAAGAATCTGTGGAAACATTCGGCTTCCCACTTAAGTACACTTTTTATAATATAAATAAGGTTTTATGCTTAAAACATTTTAATACATGGACATACTTTTAAAACTATAATTAAAAAATTACCACCCGAGTCTTTAATAACAAGCTTAAATTTACACACTGGACTGTGAGCTTCAAAACTGTTCTATGCATAAAATTTTTTTTTATATTGTAGGGTACGAGGTGACCAGGGTAGTGAAAATGTGGATGTAGCTCGCCTGATGTTTACAGTTCGTGGGACAGGAAGGGGCAGCTTTATTTCAGGGAAGAGCGTCCATAATCAGCGGTGAGTTAAGCTGGTCAAATAGTTTAATTCAGCATTTCTTAGTCCTATTCTATAAAGTGAGATTTTTCAGTTTGTCCAGATAACTTAAAATAACAAACCTCTTATTGGACAGTCTTAACTTTTGGCTAATTTTTACCACTATTCATCCATCTCTACATGTAACCTGTCAGTGAACTGGGTACTTTGCCTGATAATGTTAATTGACCAATTTTCTCAGCATCGAGAGGTTATGGAGAGACGTCTGGGCATCAGTAACGAATGTATATTATGATGTTCTACACTCCCTGGAAGAAGCTGGCTACCTTGATCTTTCAGACATGATTCACATCTTCTGTTGCCACTATGTGTTTCTTCCACGGCTTCAAAATGATCTGAATCTTTTTCGAGACACCTGGGACAATCACCCAATCCGCACAGAGGGCAACATGACCCCAAACCAGTTATGGACAATTGGAAGTATCCATCATCCTGTACTTGAACCTGACATAGAGGTATGCTGTATTTACTGCAGGCTTGACAGTATTAGCCAACTCTTTTGAGCAGGATATTTGTATATAGTTCAGTTAAATACTTAGTAAAGATTGCATTATGATAGAAATTTAACATTCATGCAGTTCAGTATTTATTGCTTTAAGAATTGTAAGTATTCCTTCATAGTCAATGGATATATAATGATCAAAGATCTAAAAGGATTTTAATTTTCTAGGGGTTGAGCATACCACACATTGACTGGGAGAGTAGTGGCCTCAGTCTTGATGTACACTCCAGTTTCGTCCTTCCTACAATCGAGTCTCCCTTGAGTGATGGACAAATTGCAGCACTTCAAGAAACCGTAGACCCCAGAGCACCTTCACAGACCTTTGGTTGGGACATTTATTTAGCTGCGCTCCAGTTTTGTCAGTCAGTTCTCATAGAGTAATTTTTTTTTTTGGTCTTTGCTTATTTTTGTATTATGTGTCACTTCATTTATGAAACTTGTCTTTTTACCAATTTCCGTCAGTAGTGCTTGACCAGGCAATAGCTGAAGATTGTATTATTTTTCAAAAAGACCATTGTTTTATTTGAACTTTGTTTGCACATCCAGTGAGTACATTTACTGTAATGTAAATAAACAACTGTACCTTATAGTGCTTTCTTTTTGGCAACATATGATGATTCAGCTTCACTGTAGTGTTCCATAGTAACAGTATGTATAATGTCACAATAACATTAGTTTGGAAAATGTTTAAGGAATGGTATAGTGACTTGCTATACAATAGTACAATAACAACTCTAGCAGTAGCACAAATACTAACAAAAACTTACAGCACTGTAGTGCAGCAGCACCACACAGTGCCATCAGTGCAAACTTAACATGTACCATACAGTCAAGCATTTAAGCATTTAAACATTACATATGACCAAAACCATATTTGCAGGAGCCTATGCACATCATCAAGTCCTTTTTAAAGGACTGGAAATCTGCATAGTGCCCTGGGAGCCTCAGGATATGGAAGCAGGTAGAGGATCTTGGGAGATCACCATTCATGACTTCCACTGTCAAATCTTCCCTTGCAACTTCCCATCTGATCCAAAACTTTAAAAGGTTCTTTAGGTCCTTGCTGGATGCTGGCATTACATAAAATCATTCTTATTACACAATGAGATCTTACAGCATATTGTTTCCTCAGTTGTTTTGCTACATATGACTGCAAAAAACTATGGTCTTAATATAAATTGTACATGCTGATATTTAGTTTTGAGACAACCATGAGATGCATCACTGAAGTGCTCATATTTATGCAGGAAGAGACATGAATGTCAGTACCATTGGTCTCCTTACAACTTGAAGTTATGTAAAGTAGGCTTATGCTATTTAACATAGAATATACATACATAGGGCACAAATACACTTACTAAGATTTCCTGATACTGCAAAGGACATACCTGTCTCAATGAATTGCTTCAAGTACCCTGAGATCTGTTCCACTGTATCAGGTGAGCATTCATTGTCATCATCATTTACACCGTCACAGTTTTTAGGCCAGGATACATGGGAAAGTACCATCTAAAGCATTAACAGAAATGAGTGCACGAGTCAGCTGTGGGCTTCCCATTACTAACAGCACAGCTATAAGGCATTTGACGGTCTGTATCAAGGGAGAGGAACATAACTGTTCCATTCTCTGATAAATAAAGATCACCCAGAAGTAAGCATTACATCAGGGGTGCATGAATCCTCAGATTCCATTGGGAAGAACACCACATCCTTTCTCTCAGTAAGAAGAGGCCAAACCAGGGTGTCCTTCAGTCCTCGTCTGATTTGTTTTATTTGGCGGGTTCTTCTCCCAAGAACCTACAATATGCATAAACATATGGAAACTGATTTAATTCCCATATTCAATAGGCTTGCGTGATATAAACATACTCAAATGAGTTTTTAGATTTATAAAAAAATTGTCAGAAAGCAATGTTGATAGATAACTTGTGTAGAGGAAAACAGCAAATAGGCAAGTGCTCATTGTTATACCCTCAAATCTCAGAAAAACATCCACACCTTATCCTCATGACCAAATTCAGTTGCACAGTAATTAGTTTAATTCTCACATTGCAATTAAAGGTCTACAGACCATATGGGAGTAAAACACACAAATGATATCCATAAAAAAAGATCGAAAGAGAAGGAGCAGAGAATAATGTGCCATAGAAGGATACAAGATACCACATCAGACTACCATAGTACCATTTCAAGTATCCTTTAAAATCACTGTAAGCATTTTGCTAACAGCCATGATCAGGATACAATATAACATCATCTAGCTCAGAAATCACAACCAGGAATACAGACCAACAGATATCTAGGTTTACAATAAATATGTAAAGATTACAAATAAGATTACCGGCCTGTATACTTTCATACAACTTGTATAAAAATGTGATTAGAACCTTAATGAGATGTAATATGACAAATATTAGAAGAGAAACTTTGCATTCCTACAATTAAATTTACCGCATGTGACAGCAGGCGCTCATAAAGCCATCTTCTGTTTTCCTCTGTTGGACCAGGCAGATCCCAAGAGAGACAGAGTTCCAATACTTTTCTGTGTTGGTCCTCATTCAATGGAGACTGTCCATCAAGCTCCAAAGAACAAATATATGAATATATACATTGATATATACTGTGTGTATAATTGCCATGCAGCTACAAATATACATACCAAGGTGATGGTTTCTCGCAGATCAATATCTGGGCAGTCCTCCAATTGCAGTGTGGCTGTATCATGTGAACCAAGAAGTAGCACATGAACGAAAGCTCTGCTGACCCCTGCCAGACGTGGGCCCCCATGCAAGAAAGAGTGGCCTAGCATTCTGCCCGCCACTAGGAAAAGGTCGCTTTCAATTAGGAACTGGGATGAGGACGGCACCAAGTGGTCTGGCTGCCCTTCAAACAAGCAAGTTATTCCTGTGTTTCCTGTTCAAAGAAACATTACATTTTTCAATCCAGGTGTCAGACACAAACTACAGAGTGAAGTTCACAAGAGGAAAATCTACTAAACAAGTGTCATGTATAAGGCACATTATTCTGTATTTCAGTGCATACCCATGTTCAAACTGAAACCATATTTGAGTTTTTCCAGAATTATGGAAAAAAAGTGCCTCGTGACTCCATCACCAATTGCAGCGTCTCCTAAAAGACAAGGACCAAATCAGGCATAAAGCTATACAATACAAACTACACACTTTGACAAACACATCTTAATTTACAATTCACCTTGAAGTTGGCATCTAACGGGACATGCCCACTCTATGTTTGTTTGCTTGTAGAAATTTATCAGTTCCCTCTCCTGTTGTTCAGGGCTTGATCTCAAATCCATGTACATGAAAAGAGGTTTCCCTGTCTCATGGAGACGGAGGATTTCACAAGTATACAAGTATGCAGCCATTTTAGGATCAGGGTGAGTCTTCCAATCTGGAAGGGAATCACAATTTCTTTAAATATTCTTCCAAATCAAGTTGTGTTAAAATTGATTTAGATCACCAATGAATGATATTTTGTTTTCTTTTCTGCTTCATTTGTCATTGTTTAACACAAGTTCATGAAGGGCCACAAAGCACAAACCCCTTAGCATAGCAGCCATAGCAAATACAATGGTAATATTCACATCATTCTTCTAAGCAGTGGTCAATTAGAGAAACCATAGATTAAACAAATTAGCCACCACTATCCAAATGAGTCACTTCCATTGAAATGTTCATTTCATCCTCCATTGTTCTACAATTTGGGAAAAGGAAACACACAAAAAAAAACAGTATTAGGAATCATAATTAACTTTTATGTATTCAGGCATATGGTAGTTTTATGTTGTAGAAAACATTTTTCATACAATATGTCTTGTATACCTTTCCCCACATCCACTTGCATGAACTTCCAACACATCAAGAGGCATTTCTTTTTCACATATAGGACAACAGGTCTATAATAAATGATAAATTACAAAAAGAGTAGATGGAGACAAAAATATTTAAATGAAAAATGCTGACATTCAAATGCATTAATCAATTACCATATTTTGCCTATGTTTTCTCAAATTATATCTAAAATGGATGATTAAGAATGTAAACATTTAGCAATTAAACAATTTAAAATGACAGACCATACAGTCTATACTTATGAGTTGATATAAGTTAACTACAAGTTACATTTTTACAGTACTGAAACAGCCTACCTGTACATTGTTCACATCTTCAGTGATGTGCTTAGTGTCACATTTCCCATCTTCCACCCTATCGTCATCGTCATCATCCACCACAACAACAGAACATGATTTAATATGTTCTGTTAGAACCTGGAGCGGATAAGACATGTTACACTTTTTGCACAGTGCCTTAGGCATGTTACGGAAGGCTTCAGAAGTTGCTGGCAAAGGTGCAGTATCCAACTCCTCCTGAAGAGGAGCTATGTAGAGGACTGAATTCTCTCCTGTTTTTGCAGATCTTATAATCCTGCCTGTATATCCACAGTCTGCAGGAGCCACTAGGATGAGTTTACGACTTCCCCATCCTCCTAGAAGTCATAACAGCAAGAATTATACAGTATAACAAAATTATACATAACAAAAGATAACAAAATCAGCAAATTGCATTATATTTTGTTTTGGATAGGCAGTATTACCTCCTGCTTTGTACAGGAGCCATCCACCACTTATTCCTTCCAGTTTTGGATACAGCTCAATAAGGATATCGCATAACTGTAAATGATAAAACAACTCAATGCTATTTATCCAATTGCTACCACAAATGCTACTGTTGGTGTAAATGATGACTTATCAAGCTATTGTGAACTAACCTAAACATTCTGATTGATTTGGTCTAGTGGTTCAAGGTATTGGAATAGTAATTCCCTGACCTCTTCGTGTGTAATGCTTTCATCCAAGGTGGCAGTTCTCCGTCCTAATCCTGCCTGGGCATGGAGCAGCTGTTCGGGACCACTAGGACTTCGTTCACACTGGGTTGGCAGCAGGTGGAACATGACATTAAATGGTTTTTGTTTACTGGGCACAGGACACACTCCAGTAAAGCGCCGTTTTCCTCTCCGACTCAAAAACAATCCAGGAAATGACCTGTTGAAGAAAAATTAGTAACTGGCAGTGCAGTTGTTGTTATAATGCCTCTGATGTTATAAATGCATGAAAGTGTTATATATCCACCTTGTCATTTCTGCCTGGACAGATGCCGCTCTCTCGTTTTGGCCATCTTGTCTATTCGCTCTGCAGACATACATTAAAATGGAAATTCACAAAATTACTTAATTACTTTATTGAGATATTCTGACATTAAAAAGAACACATGAAATTTTACCTGATACTATCCTGACTGGTAGATGGTCTTGCACTTCCTTGTCTTTGAAAATTTGACAGAAGAGACATAAGGTGTCTTGCCGACCTCAGTACTTCTTCACTGCCTCCCTTGTACCACAAACAACATGGGTACATTCAGATAATTTGACAAATTGACTAGAATCTCATTCCTTGGTCACTGCAACAAGCAGAACCAAGACTCTGGCCAGTTGTCATTTACTATATACAGCTAAAGAAACAGGCTATTCACAGCTTCAAACCAATAAACCATTACAAAGTTTGCATTATTGCAATGCTAGTTCAGGTTCTATCATACAATAGGCATATGTCCTAAAAAATGATATCACAATATTTTCAGAGATTTTCACCATGCCCATATTATAAAATTCATATATAGAAAACAATAAAATATAACAGGTGGTTTCGAGGTTTTCTGATTATCATTATGATGACCAAATTGTATTACTAATAGATATGGCGCGTGTGACTGGTTTAATGGTAAGGGCGCCAGCAACGGACTCATACCTTGATGGAATTTGTATAAATAGTGCATTATAACTATTACGATATTATACACTGATGACGATATGAATGTTCATAAACGCGACGCGATATTTCACGGCCCAGCCCTAGCTGTCGGATGCCGTTTCATCTTCACCGTCTTTTCCTTAATTAATTAAGCATATCATACTTTCAAAGTGCCATTAAGGTCCCTTCTGCTGTCATCGCCGACATGGCGGACCTGTCAGTCCCCAAGTCGACTACTATCCCATCCTAACTACCTAGCTGGCCAGCTTGCAAGCTAGCGGACCTTGTAGTTGACCGCAGGCATCTTACGTTAGCAAGATAAGTTTGGTGATAATTAATGCAGCTAGCGAATTACTTACATAAAAACCTATTAGTTGGGGGCGCAAAAAGTTATCGTATTGACCAGTAAACGACAAGAAACATAAATAACACAATCAACGAAAATCTGCTGCCAAGTCCATCAGTACTTGTACTTACCGCTTGCTCCATTTTAACCGCGGTTCCCGAAGAGAACTCTATCGGCAATCTATTGCTCATCCTGCTAGTCCCGGATGTAGAGGGTTGAATTTCGGATCGTATTTTAAACCACTGAATTTTTGGCAGCGTATTTGGAAACAGCGAAAATAACGGGACTGAATATTGTAAAGCAGAAATAAGAGG